TCCAACACAACGGCACAGAACAACAACATCAGCAAGGTAAGAGCTTCCTGCTATCTGGCCTCTACCTCTCACCATTCCAAACCATTCACAGTTCTCTCTCTACAAAATAAAGTTCAAACTTCTTGGATTTTGAACCTCTTTATCTTGCTCAACACAGCCTCTCCCAACTTTATTTCCAAACTGATACTTTTCAAATACCCAATTCTTCAGCTAATTGATACAGTCGCTGCTTCTTAAACAGTATTTCCATTTGTGCGCCTTTAGATAAGGAGCCCTGGTGGTGCAGCGGTTAAGCACTGGGCTATTATAACATAAAGGCTGACAGTTAGAACCCACCCAGCTGTTCCGAGGGAGAAAACCAAACCAAAAATCAAACTGACTGCCATTGAGTCGATTCCAACTCAGAGCAACCCCGATTGGGTTTCCAAGGCAGTAAATTACTACACAAGTAGATTGTCCAGTCCTCCCTCTGTGGAGTGGCTGGTGGGTTTGAACCACCAACCTTCTGGTTAGCAAATGCCTTAGGCACTGTGCCACCAGAGCTCCTTTTGAGGGAGAAAAACCTGGCGATCTATGCCCATAAAGACTGCGGCCTAGAAAACCCTATGGGGCAGTTCTACTCTGTCACATGGAGTCCTTATGAGTTGAAATTGACTTGTTGGCACCCAACAACAAATGCCTTTAGATGATGCTGTTGTCTGCTCTTCCCCTTCTTCTCCAGAGGTGGAAATCCTACCCATCTTTCAGGTCCTATCCAACAAGTGCAATTTCTTCCATGCAACCTTTCTTAAGCAAGCCTCTATATTCTGCATCAGAATAGCAGCACTTTCCTCAGTGTGCACCACACTTTACCAGCACTTTTCTCCTAACATTACTTCTTATTTTGTGTAAGTTAGGTACACATTTTATCTTCTCTACTAAACTCTAAGTCCCGTGAGCACAGTTGTGTCACGTCAAGTCGGTTCCAACTCATTGTGACCCTACAGGACAGAGCACAGTTGCCACACAGGCACTCCCAGGCTGTAATCACTGCAGGGGCAGATCACCAGGGTCTTCCTCCCTCAGAGTGGCTGATGAGTTCGAACCACCAACCTTGTGGTTAGCAGCTGGGTGCACTTCCTCACTGAGCCCATGGCAGTGATTTCTTTCACTAGACTGAGTGAATTTGTTCTCAGGCCCAAGGCCAGAAAGAAATGCAAGCCTAAGTCTAAAATAAATCAGGAT